CTGTTGATGAGCCACCACCTATAGAGCAAAGTTCCCCAGAGCCATTATCCCTAATTCCAGTTCCATATCCATTAATTGAGACACCATCCACTGTGGGTCCTACTGTTACGGTATCTGCGTCTGAAACTGACCAATCTTCTCCCTTGATAAATCCAACCTCACCTTTGCCATCCCCAGTTTCTGATTTTAATCCCAATTCATCGACTGATGTTCCCTCATCTCCACAAGCGACCCCTGCTGCTTCGATTGACTCTCCACAACAAATACCTTTGTCAGATGCGTTGCCTTCGACTTCACAATCACCTGCTCCTGCTTCGTCTTTGCCAATGTCACATACTGTTTTGTCTAATCCAGTGGCAGAGGAGGTGTCTGATGCAGATTCTATTGTTCAAATTGCCCCAAGGCATTCCATGACCACTCGGTCTCAGTCTGGAATCGTTAAACCCAATCCCAGATACGCACTTGTGACTACAATGGATCCCTCGATCCGCGTACAGTTCGGCAAGCTTTGGCGCACTCTGGTTGGAAACAAGCTATGGAGGACGAATTGACTGCTCTTCACAATAATGAAACCTGTACTTTGGTTCCTAGGCAACCAGGGATGAATGTAATAGGTTCCAAATGGGTGTTTAAGGCCAAGCTCAAGTCTGATGGTTCACTTGATCGATTGAAGGCCTGATGGTTCACTTGATCGATTGAAGGCTCAGTTAGTTGCGAAGGGGTATCATCAAGTTGACGGGCAAGATTTCACAGAGACATTTTCACCAGTTGTGAAACCAGGTACTATTCGTCTAGTTCTTTCAATTGCTCTGGTTCGACAATGGCAGGTACGCCAACTTGATGTGAAAAATGTGTTTTTACACGGACATATATCTGAGGATCTGTATATGGCTCAACCACCAGTTATGCTTGATTCTCAATATCCATCATATGTGTGTAAACTTCAAAGAGCTTTATACGGTTTGAAACAAGCTCCGCGCGCTTGGTTTGACAGGTTGAATGGGTTTTTAGTGTCGTTTGGCTTTGTCTGTAGCTTAGCCGACCCATCTCTGTTTGTTTTTAATTCATCTCAAGGAACACTTGCACTGTTAATTTATGCTGATGATATGCTTTTAACTGGTTCTTAAACGTCTTTAATTGATGAGTTTGTTGAATTGTTGTGTCGGGAATTTGCCATGAAAGACCTAGGACGTTTGCATCATTTTTTAGGAATTGAGGTTACGCAAACAGCAGATGGTCTAATCCTAAATCAAATGCATGCTTTGACGTTACTTGAGCGGTTCGGAATGTTTGATAGTAAACCTATGGCTACACCTTTGGAACTTAAACCGCCTATTGAAAAGGCTGCTGCTTCTGTTGATTCTCATTTGTATCGTAGTATAGTTGGTGCTCTTCAGTATTTGACATTAACACGCCCTGATATTGCTTTCAGTGTGAATTTTGTTTCTCAGTTTATGCAAGATCCAACAGTGGTGCACATGAAATTTGTTCATCGAATTGTTCATCGAATTCTAAGGTATGTTAAAGGGGCTTTATCTTTTGGATTACATTTAACTTCCAATTCTTCCTTGATCTTGCAGGGGTTTGCTGATGCGGATTGGGCTGGTTGTCCAGTCACTAGGCGTTCCACAACCGGTTACTACACGTTCCTTAGAAAAAATTTAATCTCTTGGTGTGCTAAGAAGCAAGCAACACACTGTCTCGCGTTCGAGTACCAAAGCTGAGTATAGAGCAATGGCTCATACTGCTGCAGAGCTCACCTGGCTTACATATATACTCCAAGCTTTTTCGGTTTCTATGAAAGTACCTCCTACTCTTTATTGTGATAACATAAGTGCTCTTTATCTTACTATCAATCCCTTATTCCATGCCCGAAGTAAGCATATTGAATTAGACTATCACTTTGTTAGAAAGCGAGTTGCGCAAGGTCTTCTGGTAACCAAATATATTCCTACAACTCAACAGGTTGCTGACATCTTCACCAAACCAATACACAAGTCTGCCTTGTCTATTTTTTGCAGCAAACTTTGCCTCCGACCCCGACCAAGTTTGAGGGGGGATGTTAATGATCACAGCAGTAATAAGGTGTCTTTGTGCGATCAAGTTCGTATATCAGGACCTGTTGTGGAAAATATGGAGCAATAAGGTGTTCTTGGAGAGATAAGGTTGGTTAAATATTTTCCTATTCCTCTGCTAAATAAATGGTTTGTTGTGAGTCTTTGCTGTAACTTCGCTCTTGACTTAGTTGGTAGTATTTTCAAGCCAATATTCTGGCTTGATATATGATTTGTTGCTTCCTTTTTTATAGACTTGGCACTTCTATATAAGAGGAATGTTGTACATGATTTGTTTTTTAAGTGAAATAAAGTTCAAAACCTTAACAGCTACTGTTCTTCATTTCTTATTGTTCATAAATTCATTTTTCTGTCTGCAAGGACAGTTCTGGGCAAAAGTACAAAGATCAATCAGACCACAGTTTTTACCATGACACCGTTCTTCTAATTTAATTAAATTTTAATTATCTTCTTATTTTGTGTTATGGACTCTAATTCAATTTCCATCTTGTTTTATTGGTTAACATCTAATTTCTACAAATCAGAAGTTAATCAGCTAATAATATAAAATTGAATTCAGAACAAAATACAAAATTGAAGCCAAACCAGTTGCATTTATTTTATCAACATGGCTTCATGAAAAGAATGTTTAAGATAGAATTTTTATATTTAGAGAGTCACATAAAGTTATAAATAACATTTGTGAATCTGTACCGTGTAAATACGGATTAGTTGGAATTGGAATAACAGATAATTAAAATAAAAAAAATAAATAAAGAATCAAATATCTCCATCTCATACATGTTCAAAACTAAACCAATTTCAATTCCACCACTCCCATTTTTAGAAGTTTCTGGATGTATTAATAATCAATCATTCTCAACTGAAAAAGGTAAGTGTTATTGTTGCTAAATGTTTATTACTATAAAGACAAAAAAGACCTAGGGGATTCGGTTCTTTTCCAACTTTTAAATATGAAATAGCTTTTCTATAAATATGAAATAGCTTTTCTAATTGGAGAAATAAAACATTCAAGAAATTTTAAACCATCTTATACACATAAATTTAAAACATGACATGCACATCTAATATGAAAAAATTTTCTACCAATATTTGATTCACAAATTGATTTAGTGTTGGCAGAAGCATTATCAAAGGAAATTGAAAAAAATTTTTTTGTCAATTTATATTCATTTAAAATTGAAACAATTATTCTATAAAATATTATTTGCAGTATGTTTATTATCAAAAATATGAAATGCAGTAATTCTTTTTTAAATTTTCCAATCATCATCAATCCAATAACATGTAATACCCATATAAGAATGCATTTATCAATGATCACTTCAAATATCACAACAAATTGAAACGCGAATTTTTATTTTAGAAAATAAAAGTTCTAACTCTTTTTTTTCTTTTATAAAGAAATAATAATTCGTTTTATAGCATTTCTTGGCACTCTTTTAACAGAAGGATTAAAACTTTTTGACAATATTGATTAAAACCTACTTTTTCACCAAAACTAAAAGATAAATATTCCATAAAAATCATTTTAGCTAATTCTTTTTTTTTTTTTGTTATTTTTCAGAATATTGAAGTAAAGAAAGGTTAAAAGATGTGTACCCGAAAATTTATGTTTAAGACTGATCAACTCCTATTTTTATTGAATGTTTTGCCTCCAAATGCTTCCAAAATGATCCATAACCACCCGGTTATTTATATTTATAAGATGTTTCACAATAATTGCAAATTACATCGAATATTTTATCACCTTTAAATTACATTGAATAATTGCAAATTACATCGAAACTTTGTCTTACTCTTCGAAAAATTTGTAGGGAGTGAAATCGAAGATGTTATTTATAAAGATAAATAAATATTATGTTTCTCCAATCTTTTCCTTGCCTTTAGCGGAATTTGAGTTTTATCTACTTGTCATTATAAGAAAATAATATGTAACTTGGAAAATTGAATACAATAATAAGATATAATTGGGAAAATTGAATAAAAAAATTAGAGAGAATAATAACTTAATAAAAAAATTGAATAAAAAAATTAGAGAGAATAATAACTTAATAAGAGAGATTGTAGTTGAAGAAATTAATTTTGCAATATTTTGGACAAATAAATTTAAAGAAATAACAATTAGAGAGATTGTAGAGTAGAGAATAATATAGAGTAACAGATTATTTTGTGTGAGGGGAATTTTGTAAAATAGAATGAGGTAATTTTTAACAATAATTGGAGATTGGATTTTGAAGAAATTATTTTGCAATATTTTGGACAATAATTTAAGAATGAAAATTAGAGAGATTGTAGAGTAGAGAATAATATAGAGTACAGATTATTTTGTGTGAGGGGATTGTAAATAGAATGAGGTATTTACAATAAATCCAAAAAATCATTTTTCCACAAATACACTTGAAACTTACCGTTTTGTAGCCGTTTATAGTTGTTATGAGGGGTAATTTGGAGATTCTACAAAACTATTTGAAAAAAAAAAAAAGCTGCTAGAACCGGTGGAACCACAGGTTCCTGTCGTTTAATATAAAATTCAAAATTTGCTTGGAACCTGCGGTTCGAACCATCTATTCCGGACGGTTTCGATCTGTTTTGAGAACCGCCGGTTCACGATTTCAAAAATAGTGGAACCAAAACTGAACCGTAGGCTATCAATTCTAGTTGCAGTTCGAATCGATTCTAATTCCCACTTGTTCCGATTTCAGTTTCCACGGGTTAATAACCGACGGTTTCCGATCAAGATCTGGGGTGTATGTCTAAGATAACGTGGTTTCTACGTTATAGAAAATTATTATTTTATTATTATTATTTATTAATTTATGCATTTAATATTGACTGAGCGTTCATTGGTATGCGTATCACAATTTAAAATGAAGGAATCAATAAGAACTGGTTTCCATTCAGAAGTTTTGATATTGCACATCAATGGGATCACCCAATAGCTCATCATTGAAAATTTTGTATGTCTGCCAAGTGGCTCCGGCCACTGACCTACCCCCGTCAACTACCACCAGATTAACTCTCCCTCTCACATTTTTTGATGCAAGATTTTTCAGATTTCCTCCAGCTGAGCGCGTTTACTTCTACAAACTCGCTGAGTCACCTCTATTCTTCCAATCGGAAATCCTTCCAACCATCAAACTCTCACTCTCACAGACTCTCCTCCATTTTCTTCCTCTCGCTGGCCATCTCACATGGCCGTCGGATTCCTCTAAACCTGTGATTGTTTACACTCCAAATGATGTCGTTTTACTCACAGTTTCCGAGTCTTCGGCCGACTTCGACCGTTTGACAAGCAATGAAATCCTTGAAGTTGCTGAACCAAGACAGTACATTCCTGAGTTAATAATATCAGAAACAATGGCGTCAATAATTGCTTTGCAAATTACATTATTTTCCAATAGAGGTTTTTCCATTGGCATTGCCATGAACCACTCAGTAGTTGATGGAAAAACTGCTTCCATGTTTCTCAAAGCATGGGCTCATATATGCAAAACCAAAAGTATAAGTTTATTGCCGGAGTTAACTCCATCTTTCGACCGCTCCGCAATTAAAGACCCAAATGAGCTTGAGCAATTCTATCTGAATCAGTGGAAAAATATTGATTCAGAATCCAACAGGCGAAGCGTGAAATTGTTGCCCCATCTTCTAGGAGTTTCACCAAACTTATCTCGAGCCACATTTAATTTGACTCGTGAAAGAATCGAGAAACTCAGAGAAATTGTATTTAGTTACCACAAGAACCAGGTTACCGAATCAAAGCCCACTAAAAATCTTCATTTATCTACAGTTGTCGTTATATGTGCTTATTTGTCAGTCTGTGCAGTAAAAGCTAGAGGCGGAGACACTAACAGAAAGGTTTACATTCTAGTACCAGTGGATTGTAGGAGCAGATTAAATCCTCCAATTCCATCAAATTATTTTGGTAATTGTCTATATGTTCTTAACACAGTTGCAGAAGCAAGAATTTTCATGGAGGAAAATGGAGTGGCTATTATAGCAGAGAAGCTAAGTGACTCAATACAAGGGCTGGAGACAGGGAAAGCGCTTTTTAAAGAAGAAAAGGAAAGGCATGGGAGGATGAGAGGCGAAGGAGCAGCTGTGCAAAAGGTCGGGATAACTGGATCACCTCTGTTTAAGTATTATGAAGAGGATTTTGGATGGGGAAGACCTGAGAAGGTGGAGATTGTGTCTATAGATAGAGTTAATGGTGTTTCTTTGATGGACAGTAGAGATGGAAATGGAGGAGTTGAGATTGGGATGGTTTTGCCCAGGCTTGAAATGGAGTCTTTTGCCTCACTTTTTCTTCAACGCCTTAATTAATGATATTTCTCTATTATGAAATTTCATTTTTCATATGTACTAATTTTGTATATTTATTTGTAGTTTTTAGTTTTTAATATAATAAGATTGATTGCATCACAGTCACAAATTAATTTTTGAGTACCATTCATCTCTCTAATTCAATAATAAAGTTTCTTTATTCAAATAATTTATAAATTCTTTTATTTAATTTATCCTATTATGTATAATTTTAAAGCTTTTACTACTAATTCACAATATATAATTTCTTTATCTATAAATAAACTGTAATTCTTCTGCGAATAATTTCTCTTATAATATTAAAATCATGAATTGGTCTGAACAAAGTATGTACTAAGCATATACTGGTTTGGATCCAAATTTTCTTCCAGTTCTCTCCTTCCAATCGAGCATAGATAAACGACGGAGCCGTTTCTGATTCCTGGTCCGAAATCCATGGCTTCGGCTTGGCGGAAAATCCTCCTGAATTTGTAAGTGTGGTGGACACTGAAATCCCATAAAACAACAGCAAAAGGGTCTATTTTAATAAGCCCAAAGATGTTAATGCACTCAGACTATTTGTGTTTTTTGGGCTTTCCATGGCCCACTGGAGGCCTTTGCACTATGAAGGCTAATTTGCATGCAAGTAAAGAGGTGAATATACGGTTTCCAATTAATGTATTTGACTGTAATAGAAAGATTAAATAATAATTAAACCATTTAAAAATCAGGAACTTACTGAAATTTTCTTGAATTTTCCCATGATATACATTTGGTACTCCCTGTATCCCGAAATATAAGTCGTTTTTGGATGATTATTTTGTTCCAAAATATAAATCGTTTTGAATATTTTAAAAAGTAATAAATAATGTTTTTTCAATATTACGCTTATTTAGATTAGATATAATAAATATTTTCACAAGTAATTATTGATTTTGAGATAAATGATAATTTAATCAAATTACTTTTGAATTTGTTATAATCTAGGAGAATTACTTGTTTATGTAATCTTTGCGTAAAATCCTTAAACGAATTACATTTGAGAAGAGATGAAGTATATTACAATCTTAAATTAGTAACATTATAAGAAAAATGCTGACATTTAAATTCTTTTATTAGTTCAAAAGTGTTTGGCTTCTTTAAAAAATTAAGGAGGTGTACGAAATTCTCAAGCTATATTGATAAAATTAATCGCCCAAAGGATATTTATAAATCCATTAGCAATTTAGGCTTTATTTTAGTTTTTTTTTTTTTTTTTTAAATCAATACAACATATTCGATTATACTCAGAAGTTTAGTGTTGCGATAAAAAAGCATTTAATTTAAAAAATTAAATTTCCAAATCGTTTAATTTCAAAAGTTGCAATAATTTTATAGGTTTTCCTAATTTTGCTTTTTACGTTGTAGTCGGAATTTCTTAAAAGAAAAGAATGATATAGAAGGAGTAGCATGCTTGGGAAAGTGAGATGCGTTTACGGAACATATTGCTAGCTTTTGACTACTTTTCAGCACTAGAAACACTCACATTTCTTGAGTTTGATAAGCTTTTTTTTCCTCTGATTTCCCAACTAATACATCAATATCAGATAAATTTCGTTACAGAATTTATGATTTTTTTTTTCTTTTCTTTAAGTACTTTTTCACAATCGATTTCCTAAAATGAGAACTCAAGAATACTTTACTATTTGAGTTGGATATTACAAGTCTACTTTAATATACAATATCGATAAAATAATTGAAAAACAAAGAAAATATCTTATTTGTGATAGAAAAATGAAGTCCATCTTTAGTGCTTTCAGGTGTAACAATTATCTCAAACTCAAATTAAATTTTTGCAACCTCTCCTTTCTTTCAAAGATTTTAATTAAATTCAAAAAACTAGAAATTCAATCCATTCTTCCTCTATTCAATTTAAATGTGGACATACAGAAATGTTCATTTTTACCTTTCTTTTACATGGCTTTTTCTTTTTCTCCTTCTCCTATTTTGGGATTGCTGCTTCTTCTGTCATGCAGGTACAGTTGTGTCGATTGTTAGGCCATGAAAAAGGAAAAAGGAAACCCTAGAACCAAGAAAAGAAGAGATAGGGGAAAATATATTTTGTACAGTGATCAGAAAGAGACAGTGAAGATCGATGCAGGCAGTGAGTAATGCTTAAGATGGCAGAGAAAGTGAAACCCAAATCACAAATGTCACGAAATTAATAGACAAACAGAAATATTTTTACCAACATCTCGTTTTTCTCTACGTCTCTTTTGCTTAGGAGTTATGACTCTCCCTGCATAATTAATTAATTAACACGTACTGAGGCTGTAAAGAATGATAGTATTTGCCTGAAATATCTTATCCTATTTATCAACTTCACCAACAATTTTAGACACATAAAAAGTTGTATTTGATAATGGGGGGAAATGAATAGTTACTATGGTGAAATTCTTAACACTTGTTCAGCTTGTACATCAAAATATGTAACGCAGTTATATATTCCCCATGGTTTTTTTTTTTAAAAAAATTTTCCAACGAGTATATTCATACTCTTTTAGTATGAGACTAATTTTATTTCGAGGCTGCTTTTATATTGTAAAAATAATACAAAAAAACTCAAATGTGTCTTATTACTTGAATCACTTTTCATGGATTAAAATTTTATATGTGTATGGCTATGGTATATCAAATTCAGACTTAACAAGAAAAAAAAATTAAATCAATTAAAATTTTCAGTTTGGTTTAGATAATAGTATTAATATCTAATTCTTCCAAAAAAAAACCTTAATATAATTTCTAATATATAGTATTAATATCTAATTCTTCCCAAAAAAAAATCAAATGAATTAAATTTTTCGCCATCTAACTATTCTGTGGTCTGGCCAGGAGATATATATATGCAGGTGAAGATGTTTAATAATTAGTTTATAGATTAATTTTTTTTTTTATCAGCAAAAAGAAGAATTAATTTTATTAATGGTGAATGAAGAAAAAGTTAGCTAATCAAATTCTAACAGGTCCCTTTCCGCTGGCACACAGATTGGATAGCCAAGTAAATTAATTAATTAGGTAAAAATCTGAAGCTAACACTAGTGTGTGGAATCTGGGGACCATTACAATTTGGCAATAATAATAATAATGATAATAATTAATGGTGGTAACAGTCAATCAGAACTGTATTAGAAACCTTTCTACTGTTCTTCTTGATATGTCCACCACTGCTTGTTTATGTACAAAGACAGAAAGATATAACAAAACCCTTAAAACTGTTCTCATCTGTCTCTTTCGTCCTGTAATTTCTAAACAAAGCAATCAAGAACCCTTCTCTTTCTCCTGTCAACGACACTAAATAGTAAATAGTCTGGTAGTTGAAGAACCACATAACTTCAAAACAAAATGGCTATTTGATAACATCAGATCAATCTCACCAGTGTTATCTTCAAAAGCTTGTGTATATATCGACTCTTTTAGGGTTTCTTGTATTGCTTCTTTTTTTTTTTTTTTTTTTACCCTTCCTCTTTTCCTGTCAACGACACTAAATAGTAAAAATAGTCTGGTAGTTGAAGAACCACAAACTTCAAAACAAATGGCTATTTGACTAACAATCAAGAATCAATCTCAACGCAGTGTTATCTTGCAAAAGCTTGTGGTATAATATCGACTCTTTTAGGGTTTTCTTTGTATTGCTTCTTTTTTTTTTTTTTTTTTTTAATTCTTTCCTTTGCTTTCTTTCTTTTTTTTTTTTTTTTTTTTTAATTCTTTCTTTCTTTCTTTCTTTCTTACTTTCTCCTTTTCCTGGAAAAGGATAAGCAAGTAGTTAAATCTAACTATATTTTCATTTGAAGAAGGATTAAGACAAAAAAGCTGAAACATTTTTGGAGTCCAATAGCTGGAAAAGCAAAAACGTTAATCTTTTTCAATTTAATTATATTCATTATTTCCTCTATCTACTCCCTTTTGATGGCTTTGAAAAACTGTTCTTTTATTTATTGAATTTTAGGGTTATGGGCTGCAAATTTTTTCTGCTTCTACCAAATTAGCAATCTGTACTAAGAGACCTAAATGGCATATTAATTACTCATCCCATAATGTGAGAAACGAGCAAACATGCAATTTTCTATGCAAGATTTAAAAAATTTAGAAGGAAGAATTTTCTTAATTGTTTCTTCATTATCTTGAATAAATTTTACTAATTTTGCAATGTTCCTGACCTAATTAATTAGATAAACCCACAATTTTATTTTGCTTCCTTTTGAAAAATTTCAATTCATGGGCTAATATGTATATATTACTAATTACATCTTTTTCTTGCCCTGACAATTAGCCTAGTCATTTCCTTGTCTTGCAGAGAATTTTATCAGCAATAGCAACAAGTAAACTAAAATATAAGCAAGCAAGTCACAGACGGATTCTGATCAAGATTTCAGAACAATTGTCACCGTCAGTGGCGGCCACAACAAGAGTCAAATTATTCAGCTATGTAGGGTTCCATCGCCTCCCCAAGGACTGAATTCCCTATCATTGAAACGAAGGTAGGTAATACATATATATAGAGAGAGACCAATTCTAATTAATAAACGCTTATAAATGTTTCAAAGAAGAAGAAGAAGAAGAAATAAAATTGCATACATTTTCTTGTTTCTTTCCTCCATAAAACGGATGGCTTACGTTGCTTTGTCAGCTGTTAGGTTTGAATACTTCAACTTGCTCCATGCATATCTCTCTGCAGCAAAAGTTTTCTGCGGTCCTGTTTCTTTGATAATAAGTTTATAGGCTGGTCCCTCCCCTCCAAATAGGTTTTCTTACAGTATGACAATATTCTTACAGTTTGTATGTACACCACAACTTTTAGAGCCCAAGAATTGATAAATTGCATTAATTACTGCATATATTTCACGATAGTCTGTCTTGATTAATTTCTAAACAGTTGGTGATTATGATTAACCAAAAGTCAAGAGCCTTGAAATGTTAAGCAAGCATAATTAGCATATTAATTAGTTTCAATTCTAATTAACTGAGCATGCATTCTTCAACAAAGATGACAAGGATTGATCAGAATTTTACAAAACCTTTTTCGTAGTTGTCGATAAAGCATGACTCACCGCTTTTCAAAATGTAAAGAATGGTCCCCAATTTAATCTTTTAGTTAATTATGTAAATTTTTTTCTTTTTTTTCTCTAAAACTGATGATGTTTTTTTTTTTTTTTTTTTTTTTTTTTTTTTTTTTTTTTTTTTTTTTTTTTTTTTTTTTTTTTTTTTTTTTTTAAACAAAGAAGGTGTAAATCCTGAGAGTGTAAAAAGTTTTTTGCCTATTCCGACAATATATGCATTCCGTGTTCTTTTTTTTTTTTTTTTTTTTTTTTTTTTTTTTTTTTTTTTTTAAACAAGAAGGTGTAATCCTGAGAGTGTAAAAGTTTTTTGCTATTCCGACAATATATGCATTCCGTGTTCTCACTTTAAAGGGAATTGAAATGACTTACTATTTCAACCAAGACCCTTGATCAGGTTTTTAAACTACAGCTAAGTATTGAAACTTGCTATCTTGACAAAGGAAAATTAGCCCTAACAAATATTCATTGAGACAATGATTGTTCAACATGCGTGATAAAGGAAATGATAAGACATTGACTAGCACATTTATTTGACCAATGGCGAACCACACCACGTGGCATAACAGCTGCCATTGCTTTGCCTTTACGTCTTCCTCCTTGGAGCATGGTCGGTTGAATTCCGGCATCTTCCTTTCTCAAATGCTTCAACTTCACCAATAAGTTTATTCTCTGCAATTAAAGCAAACTTGTAGGCAGCAGCTATAGCTTGGTTGAAGTTCACAAGGGGGTGCTAAGTAAAGTAGTGCAAAGGTTGACAGATCTATCTATTCCTTTCTATACACTGTAAGTCCATTTTAATCTTAAATCCTATATGCTTAACCTAGCTATAATCAAGTAAAAATTTCCCCTTCTTTGGAAAGCTTTTCTTCCTTCATTTATATCAATTCAAGTTTTCAATTTTTCCCATGTATATTAAAGCTACAACTGTGTTTGTCCTCTTCAAATTTGATAAGGGTTCTTGAGGACTATCAATCTATTCAGCTTCAATCCATAAAATACTACTAAATTCTAACCTGTCTTGTTGAATTCCTTTCTAATTATGGAAAGATCTCTCCTTTTCTTGATTTACATATCTTCTCTTTCAATATGGGGAATTGGGATTTGAATAGATTTTTTTTTTCTTTTTCTGATCGGCAAATAATCAAGAAATACTTCAGTTAATATTGAATAGATCTAGCTAGTGCTAATAACAACATACATGACAGATTAATTGCTCGCTCTTTATTTTCATGTTTCCATGGATATGAAATAGATAATCATGATTTCTTGGATGATCATGAAAGTTTACACTATAATTTTACTAGTTGAGTTACCTTTGCAGCAATGATGAGAGCCATAAGAGATGATTAGTAGTTCAAAAGAAGTGGATTCTCCATCAGAAAAGGAGGGAGATCATGCAAGTAGTTATCATGATCATGGAAAGAGTAGTACAAAGGCTTCTTCGTCTAGCTCAGCAACACCATGGTTAAGATTGAAAGATCCAAGAATTGTTCGGGTTTCGCGTGCTTTTGGAGGAAAAGATAGGCATAGTAAAGTTTGCACTATAAGGGGATTGAGAGACAGAAGAGTTAGGCTTTCAGTTCCAACAGCCATCCAATTGTATGATCTTCAAGATAGGCTTGGACTTAATCAACCTAGTAAAGTTGTTGATTGGTTACTAAATGCAGCTAAGCATGAAATTGATGAACTCCCTCCACTTCCAATTCCACCAGTCAATTTTGCCCTAAACCATCAAGCAATGTTAAGTAGTAGTGAAATTGGAGCTTCTCAATCCAACAAATTGAATAGCAGCATCAGTTGGGAAGAAAATCAAGGAGTTGTATTAAGTTCTACTAGACCCAATTTTTGGACAACCGATGCACATTTGAAGAATAAATCAAAACATGTTGCTACAAGTGAGAAAGAAAATTGGACGACAAGAAGAAATGAAGAGGATAATAAACAAAAAAGCAATGAAGTTGCGGCATCAAGTAGTTTCTTTCCTAGAACTACTCATTCTTCTTCGCCGGCGGGTTTGATAAACAATGCAATCCCATATACTTCTTTTTTTCAATTAGAACATCCAAGTTTTCCTTTATCTCATATGGGAAGCCATGGATTTGTAAGTCAAACAGATTATCATCATGATCTGCACAACCTAAATTCTATTCCATTACCATCCACTTTATCTTTATCATCTGGGTCTCAAATTTTCCCTTATTTCCCTTCACATGCTACAACTGAAATAGATCATCCGAAACAAATAAACCACTTTCAGATGTTGACTCCAAGCGCCCAAACCCTATTCCCAAATTCTCTTACTCCAACTCCATTCTCTTTAAATCAATCTGCTAGACCTTTCCATTTCAGTGTAACAAACCCTAGACTTTTCCATTCCCATAATAGTGGAAGTCAACCTGATAAGGACCAGGATCAATTTCCTTCTAAATGACATCAACGGCATATATATACATACATGTCTATATATACACAAGGAGCACAAAAGTAAGGAAACAATGCAAAGCCTCAACTTGTTATTATCCTGGCCCTGGGGAGACCAAAAAAGGTAGTATAATTATTTCAACCTTAATTTAGTACTGAGTACAATTCTACTTTTCCTAAGTGTTCTCTGGAAGAAAAGTCTTGTTATGTTAATTATTTGTTCTAATAGATTACAACCTAATGTTTGTTTTCATAATTCTAGGATAGTTTTTGTTAATGTATGCTATTTTCTTAATTTTATTTTGTTTTCTAATGTTCCATGATACCTATGAGTTCTCTTTATAATGCATATTTTCAGTTCAACTACCAAAGTGATAGCTAGTTATTTATTTGTGTATAGTCATAATCGTAAATTAACCTATATTGTTATCGTGGCAATGGTGGAAATTTTCAACAAATTTGATTCAACGGTGGAAAAAATGAATGAGATGTGGTTAGGGAGAAGAACAGGGTGGCTGATATTTTGCAAAGAAAAGAGTGAGTTCTCCTTCTCCATTTTCTGCTTGGCTATGACTTTACTAAGGTTTCTTGACCCAATTTTGGTGTTTTAGCGTGTTGTTTAGCTTTACTGCTTCTCTTCTCGTGAGGCAGTGTTTCCTGTGTTTCAGATTTTGTTGATTTTCGTTGTTGGTTTTAGGGACAGTTTGAATCTTAGGTTGGGATGTATAAGGGTAAAGCCCGTTCGCTTGGGTTTAGATCGATTCATTTCTCCCTAACTTACACATTCCTCTTCCATTAATAAAATCTACTTCTTGTTGGCTGATAAAAAAAACAAAAAAAAATGCTTATTATGTATATATATAGATATTAATTTATCAGCTCTATTATTGTTATTGTGCTTAGCTAATCAAGTAGTGGAGTTCATAGGGATCAAGAAAATTAAAGAAAAATATATTCTGAAACTTCTGTATATGAAGCAAAAGTTCCAGAAATTGAAACCCTAAAGAAGAAAAAAAGCCACGACAGAAGGTTTCCTTTTCTTTTCATATATACAGGGTATTAACAGAAAAAAAAGACAGTGAAAATGAAGAAGAAGAAGAGAGATTAATAATTTTATGTACATACAAATAGACATTGTACTATAAGTTTGGTAGAAGTGGTGTCAATTTGACACAGGATCCAAGAAGATAATGGAAGGGAAATAGCAGCTTTATATAGTCTAAAAAGACACTGAAAGTGCATCCAATATAAATATCGTGTCGTGTGGTCCTTCGCAATAAATATTTGAGGGGGAGGGGGGGAAGAGAAGGTGTAAGGTAAAATTAGTTTGGAAGTAACCTCGTTTTGTTCATGTGATGGAATTGAGCTAATGGGTTTCATTTCTAACTATTTGTCATGAATTGAGCCTTTCTCTCACATGAACAAAAAGAGGTTACTCGATATATAAATACACATACATGCATATGGGATGATTAATAGTTTTACATATATATATAGTATTGAGCTAACAGCTAGCAACAGATTTTATCTCTTATTTTTGTAACTGTTTATATTTCGAAATTGTGTTTATCTTGTACAGCTGTAGTTGTTATGTTGTTATAGGGAACTGTTGTATTTATAGGTTTGAGAAATAATAGTAAATTAATTCCACTCAAATCGTTTTATGGTATCAGAGCCAAAACCTATTAGTTTTTGCATTTTCTTCTTCGGTCATTACTCTCAGTTTATTCGTTTGCCTAAAACCTATTGTTCTTTAAATGGCTTCTGCGTCAAATACCTCCAACCTTACACATATGTCTGGTAAGGTTTTGATTTCAATTAATGGCTCTCAGTTTCCTCTGAAACTGACTCAACAGAATCTTCTTGCGGTCATTACTCTCAGTTTATTCGTTTGCCCTAAAACCCTATTGTTCTTTAAATGGCTTCTTTGCGTCAAAATACCTCCAACTTACAACATAATGTCTGGTAAGAGGTTTTGAATTTCAATTAATGGCTCTCAGTTTCCTCTGAAGACTGACTCAACAGAATTTATTCGAGCATGGAGAGCTCAAGATTGCTTCCCTGTCGTATGTGGGTCACAAATAAATCTCCTAGGGTATGTTGATGGATCCTATCCCCGTCCTCCCACCAGTTTTGAAGGGAAAAGGATGATAAAGAAAGTTTCAACAAAGCCCTGATAATGATCATTTGGTCTGTCATGGAATCAGCTAGTGTTGGCAGCATTGATTGCCTTCCACGAGTGTGTCCCCTCTATGCATAAATTGTTTCCACTGCTCTATACTTCAGCAGATGCCGTGGGCGAGCAGATACAGACGTGCATGTGCCAACCGATCTGCAAGCATGTATTCTGTCTCGCTTCGAGAAAAAGCTTGCTTAATAGCAAAAGAAAGATTTTTAAGCAGTTTCAGAGGTACTTGAGTCTATTAAAGCAAATTTTCAGACAGATCTGAGCTTTGTTCTGGAAGTCCAATCTCTAAACGTTGATTCTATGTGGATTTAGTGACATTAAGAGTGGAATTGGCCCTGAAATTATCCGCAGATAATGCTAGCTAGAAGCATATTGCGCCACGTGATATTCTGTTTATAATTTATCTATTTGCAGGAAGCTTGTCGCAGAAGATCGGGCTGGTCTTCGCATATGAAGTAATAATGGTTAAAGAAAAAATTGATCGGCCTTAATGAATCCCAGCCACACCTGTTGTGGCAAATAAATGTAATACGATGAAGTATATGTTAAGAAAATTGATTCGGCTTATGATCCAGCACCTGTTGTGGCAAATAATGTTCGAAAAAAATTCTTATTCTTCTCGACCGCAGTCATCATCTAGTTCTCGTGAAGATTCTGGGTATTCAGGAAACTTAGGCTCTCGATCCCAGCCTATGCGCAGGAATAATAGAGGTTCCAAAGTACATTGTCAGATTTGTGATAAGCCGAGTCATAATACCAAGCAGTGTTACGGTGCAAAGGACTTCTTCAAGAATAATTTTCCTAGACCACCACCGCGGGCTAATCATGTAGCAGCTTCTGATTCTTGGAGCTAGGTGTTGGACACTGGAGCTACGAATCATGTCACTAATGATTTACAGAACTTGTCTTTGCATGCTCCATATGAAGGATTAGATGAACTTCACCTTACCGATGGTTCAGGTTTGCACATAACTCATGTTGGCTCTAGGGTTCTTTCCTTTCCATTGAAAAGTTGTTCTTTACAGAATGTTTATTGTGTTCCTAGGTCTAAGGAAAACCTTATTTCTGTTTCTAAATTTTGTTTAGCTAACAATGTCTCTATTGAGTTTTTCTTTGATTGTTTCATTGTCAAGGATCTCAACACGGGGGAGATCATCACAAGGGGGCAAATTAAAATTTTCCTGTATCGTCTGTCTTCGTTATTAAGTGGTCGTTCGTCTTCAATTGATGCCAATGTTTGTGTTCATGATTCTTCGTTGCTCTGGCATCAGCGATTAGGTCATCCTACTGCTAAAGTGTGTCGTCAAATTTTGTCTTCATTTAATTTGTCTAAATTTTCTGATGTTTCTATTGATTGTAATTCATGTCGTTGTAATAAGAGTCATAGTAATAAGAGTCATAGACTCGCGTTTGGAACTTCTACTCTTTCTAGTTCTCGTCCTTTAGAACTATTATATTCGGTTTTATGGGGACCAGCACCAGTTGAATCTATTGATGGTTTTCAGTACTATTTGATAATTGTTGATCATTATACTAAGTATGTTTGGTTCTATCCTACTCATGCTAAATCTGATGTTGCTTTGATTTTTCCAGCATTTCAGAAATTAGTTGAAAATTTGTTTCAAACCAAAATAGGTTCTATCTATACTGATGGTGGTGGTGAGTTCCTTGCTCTCAAAACAATTTTTCGGGACAATGGAATTCAACACTTGCAAACACCTCCTCATACACCATAGCACAATGGTGCCGCAGAGCGTCATCATCGCCATTTGGTAGAAACAGGTCTCACTCTTCTTCAATCCGCTTCCCTACCCTATCAATTTTGGTCATATGCGTTTTTAGCAGCAACGTATTTGATCAATCGGTTGCCTACACCTATTTTAAAAATGACCTCTCCTTTTTCTAAACTTTTTCTCTCTCCTTTTTCTAAACTTTTCATAAAGATCCAAATTATTATTAAGTTTAAAAGTGTTTGGATGCCTCTGCCCTATCCCTTTCTTAGCCTGTATTAATAAAACAAATTCGAACAAAAGTCAAAGCCTTGTATTTTTTTGTTAGGATATTCATTAAACCAGAGTGCTTATTTGTGTTATGGACCCACCACAGCCGGTTATATGTGTCAACGGCATGTCTATTTGTGGAGAATAAGTTTCCTGGACAAACATTGTTTTCGTGATCTTTGTGAAGAGGACTATGAGAATAAGTTTCCTGGACAACATTGTTTTCGTGATCTTTGTGAAGAGACTAGTGCTTGGTATAATATTGATAGTGGGCCTTTATCTGAAACGATACCGTTTCCATCAAATAATAAAAAACTCCCTTCTCAATCTGATATTGGGTCTTTGTCGAGTATGGGTATTCAAGTTTCTAGGGATTTTGGTTCTTCTACACCGATTGTAGCATCTGTTCCTATATCTGATTCCATGTCTTCTCCATCGTCTACTTCAGATTCTTCTAATTCTAGTTCAGCCTCTTCTCAACCAGTTTCTGTAGGTACAAATTCCAGTTCTGTGTCGTCCATGGAAGAGTCTCCTGTTTCGTCTCATGTGTCGTCTTCTGTGTCTACAATGTCTGGTGAGTCTCTAAATTCTTCTATTGCGTCTTCGGTTGAGTCTGGGTCTTCTGATTTGTCTTCTACGGTTCTTGTTCGTACTCATCCTATGGTCACACATTCTCAAAATAATATATAATATCTTTAAGCCGAAAATTGTTCATTCTGTTAGTAAACATCCTTTACCCGAATCTGTAGAGCCAACTCGAGTTTCTCAAGCGCTACAAAAACCAGAGTGGCTTGAAGCTACGTCTGTTGAGTTCAATGCATTAATGGCTAATGGCACTTGGGTTCTTGTTCCACCAAATTCTAATTATAATCTGGTTGTTGTAAGTGGATTCTCAGGGTTAAGCGTAATGTGGATGGCTCTGTGGCTAAGTATAAAGCACGCTTAGTCGCTAAGGGGTATAATCAACGCCCTGGTGTTAATTTTGAAGAAACTTTTGGCCCGATTCTAAAGCCAACAACGGTTCGAATCATACTCACCCTTGCAGTGACTAATAAATGGGATATTTGTCAATTAGATGTGAATAATGCGTTTTTACATGGTCCTTTGCAGGAGGAAGTATATATGCAGCAACCTCCTCCCTTTGCAGGAGGAAAGTATATATGCAAGCAAACCTCCAGGTTTT